GTCTCAGAAAGTATTCCTTAAAAAAAAAAAAAAAAAAAAAAAAATTGTTTTAATATCTTATGGGGTTGAATGAGCTATAGACCTCGAATTTTTTTGTTGTTATTATTGTGTGTGTGTGTGTGTGTGTGTGTGTGTGTGTGTGTGTGTGTGTTTGTGTTTTCCTTAGATGGAGTCATGCTCTTGTCACCCAGGCTGGAGTACAATGGCAGGATCTTGGCCCACTGCAACCTCTACTTCCAAGTTCAAGCAATTCTCCTGCCTCAGCCTCCCGAGTAGCTGGGATTACAGGCACCTTCCTCCATGCCCAGCTAATTTTTGTGTCTTTGGTAAAGACAGAGTTTCACCATGTTAGCCAGGCTGGTCTCGAACTCCTGACCTCGTGATCTGCTCGCCTCAGCCTCCCAAAGTGCTGGGATTACAGGTGTGAGCCACCGCGCCCAGCCTCAGACCTGTTTTGTTTTTGTTTTTGTGTTTTGAGATGAAGTCTCTCTCTGTGGCCCCCCAGCTGGAGTGCAGTGGTGCTTATCTTGGCTCACTGCAACCTCTGCATCCCAGGCTGAAGCGATCCTCCTGCCTCAGCGTCCCTAGTAGGTGGGACTACAGGCAGGCACCACCATACCTGACTAATTTTGGTATCTTTAGTAGAGACAGGATTTCATCATGTTGGCCAGGCTGGTCTCAAAGTCCTAACAAGTGATCCACCTGCCTTGGCCTCCCAAAGTGCTGGGATTATAGGAGCAAGCCACTGTGCCTGGCCTATAGACCTGGTTTTGTGTCCCAGCTTTGTTACTTGCTAGTTGTACTCTCCCTGGTTATATTCATTTTTCTAAATTCATTTATTATGTAAAGTGTAGTACATATTTAGAAAGCCCCTGGCTTATTACTCTTAATAAATCTGTAGGTACTTTGCTAATGGGCACAGAAACAAACATATAACTTGAGAAATTTAAAGATAGTTTTCTGGGTAATGACTGATATGGATAGATAAATGAAGTTCACTAATTTATCACTTAGAAACAGCTGTAACAATAGTTAATATAACCACAAGTGGCGCCAGAGGAGAAAGGCCCTGGAAGAGTGGCAGTGACTAGCATTATTTCTGTTGTCTTCTGGGATTTTTGAAGATTGAAGGGGATCTGCAAAACAAATTGCAAATAGCAAACAAATTGGTGGTTGACTGGAGATGGTTTTCAGATTGAACAGTAGATTGCTTTATCATCTATTTGAATCGCTAACGATGGTCCTGTGATGGCTGGGCACAGCTTTAAAATATTTTAATGCACTGTGATTTCAAGATTAGTCAAATGGGAGACAATAAAGTCTGTAGGAAATGATAACCTTTGAGTGTGGGATAGGTATAATTTCGTTAAGCAGCTCCTGCCTTGACACAGAGGTCCCAGGATTCCTGGAATCCCATTTTTGGCTACTTCCTCCCTTGCAGGGAGAAAGATAGAAAATGCACGGTTTTAACTTTGTACATCTCTTTTTATCTCGTGATTTTTTTTTGACCACAGACCTAGATTCAGGACATAAAATTGAGGTTAATAGCTACCTCCTTTAGAATTAAAATGAAATTGGAAATCCACAAATTTTTGAAAACAGAGAGTGAGAAATACAACACTTAGCAAAGCAAGAAATGATTTCATTAAGGTTTAAGAAATAGGAAATAGTTAATGACTTTTTTCCAGCTGTTTTTTCTTAAATATATGTCTATTTTTAATTCAGGTGAGCTATGCATATCTGAAAATGAAAGAAGGCTTGTTTCTAAAGAGGCTTGGAGCAAACTGCAGCAGTACTTTCCAAAGGCTCCTGAGTTTCCAAGTTACAAAGAGTGCTGTTCACAGTGCAAGGTACTGAACGATACTGACATCTGGGAAAATGGCTTGACAGCTCCCTGGGTTGACTTCCCAGGGGAATTCAACTTCTGCCGGGGGTGTAGGGAGGAGGCAAGTCATGTGCTGTCAGCAGGAGACAGTTGATTGCTTCTTTCTCTTTCAGATTTTAGAAAGAGAAGGGGAAGAAAATGAAGCCTTACATAAGATGATTGCAAACGAGCAAAAGACTTCTCTCCCAAATTTGTTCCAGGATAAAAACAGACCGTGTCTCAGTAACTGGCCAGAGGTATAATGATTCCCACAAAGGAAAGAATGCATCTTTTCTTTTTAAGCCCCTTGCCAAGTTCCCAGTGAGCTATTTCAGAACAACCCAGAACTTCTCATATTCTCATTTGTTTAGTTATCTAACCAGGGGATTTACTCCAGCCTGCTATTTTTTGGTAGAGGACTGTGTTTTCACTTTATTTATAAAACTTGAATAAGGATAACCAAAGTATATTATAAAGAATTTGTGTTAAGAAGGCAGTGAATTGACGGATACTGTTTTGTGATTTTTGTGTTCTAGGATACGGATGTCCTCTATATCGTGTCTCAGTTTTTTGTAGAAGAGTGGCGGAAATTTGTTAGGTAGAAACAAAACATGTTTTATTTTCTTTATTGTTGTTATTGTTTGGTTGACTCTGGTACTTTTTTAAGATATCGTGGATTCTGTTTGTGGTACCCTTCATAGTTACTTTCACCAGCACACACTGAAAGCTTTCTTTTCTATTAAGTTAAATGAATAGTCCTAAGAAACACATGTAATTACTAATATTTTCTTAAATATATCTCTGATTTTGAAATAATTATTTAAAATCTTCTCTTTCATCATGCAGTAATTAGGTATATTTCTCCTCCTTGTCTCATTTGAGTAGAAAGCCTACAAGATGTAGCCCTGTGTCATCTGTTGGGAACAGCGCTCTTTTGTGCCCCCATGGGGGCCTCATGTTTACATTTGCTTCCATGACCAAAGAAGATTCTAAACTGTGAGTTTCTTCTCTTCGTGTGATTTTTTTTTTCTTTCTAAACTTTTTGATGATTAATAAAGTATGTTTAGGAAATTTCTCATCTGACATAGTCTATTTTAAGAATTTAGTCCTTTGCTGAATTGTGGGGTTTTTTTTCCCTTTTAAAAGAAAAAGACTACTTCTCCAGGAAAGACAAGAGACTGCCTGAGGCCATTTGTCTTTTTGCTCATTCCCTGTCCCTCTTGGAGACAACACAGCCACCCTTTTCCCCCACCACCCCCCGCTGGTGACCAGCACTGTGACCTGACCTCTTTTCCAGAATCACAGAATCAACATGGTCTTGGTTGTAGGCTTTTTCCTGCAGCTGCCAGGCGTCAGACAATTAAAGGAGGAGGATAGCAGGGTGGCAGAGCAAAGCCACTGCACTGGCCATCTGGAATCCTAGGGTCTTAGAACCAAAGTTTTATTCCATGCTTTAAGTACTTTTAGAGGTGTTTGTTCGTCTGTGAATTTCTCCCTTGATGTTGCCAAAAATAATTATATAAGAGAATGTAGAATGCCTCCAACATTGTCAGAAAATCAGGAAAAGGGGCCGGGCATGGTGGCTGAAGCCTGTAATTCCAGCACTTTGGGAGGCTGAGGCGGGCGGATCACGAGGTCAAGAGATCGAGACCATCCTGGTCAACATGGTGAAACCCCGTCTCTACTAAAAATATAAAAATTAGCTGGGCCTGGTGGCGTGCGCCTGTAGTCCCAGCTACTCAGGAGGCTGAGGCAGGAGAATTGCTTGAACCCGGGAGGCGGAGATTGCAGTGAGCCGAGATTGTGCCACTGCACTCCAGCTTGGCGCCTGGCAACAGAGTGAGACTCTGTCTCAAAGAAAAAAAGAAAAAGAAAATCAGAAAAAGGAAATTGAAAGACATAAATAAAAATGCCCTTGGGGTTCAGCTAGAGTTTTATTATTCATATTTTAGTACTTTAACATCATTTAAGGGAGTTCAGAGTTTATCTGTTCTTCCACGTTTTCTCCCTACCTCTTTCTCTCCCTCTCTGCTTCCCTCCTTTCCTGTTGCTCACTCACTCTCTTTCTTCTCTTCCTCCCTCCCTTTCTTCCTGTCATTGTTATTGTTGCAGATGTCAGACTTTCAGGAAAATATCTACACCAATAAACAAATGTGTGTTACCAGTTTAAAAGTTAAATGGTTCAGATATGATCAAAGACCCCTCAGTGCTTATCCTTCTGTGGCTGCTTCTCTCTCTTTCTCCCTCTCCCTCTTGCAATAACCACTGTCCTGAATTTAAAATTCATCTGTCTCAGAAAGTATTCCTTAAAAAAAAAAAAAAAAGCACATAATGTCTTGCATATTTAAAACTTTTTATATAAATGGCATCATACTGTATTTATGCTTCTGCAACTAACTTATTTTACTCAATTATGTTTTTGAGATCTAACCATGTTGATTCGTGTAATTCTAGTTCATTTAGTTTCGCTGCTGTGGTAACATTCCTTTGTATCAAAAACTATTCTTTCTTCATGATATGTATCTTTTCCCTCTAATTCCTTTTGATTAAATATTAGTGTTGATGGTTATGGTTTAGCAGAGTAATGGATTATGTTAATTCTGTTAATTTCCATGTGTCTTAAGGCATGTTGTGTTTTTTTGCACAGTATAGCTCTCATATGGCCCAGTGAGTGGCAAATGATACAAAAGCTCTTTGTTGTGGATCATGTAATTAAAATCACAAGAATTGAAGTGGGAGATGTAAATCCTTCAGAAACACAGTATATTTCTGAGCCTAGTAAGTTTTCATATTGCTTTTTGTTTCTATAGTTAAGAGCTGCCATTTAAAGAAGAAAGGGTATGTCAGTGTTGTCTGCTTTAAAGTTAAAGATCATGTGGTGGTCCAAACTCTCTAGGTGGAAACTCTATTATGGTCATCTCATTATTTGTATGTTTATTTATGAACAGTAAATTGATTTCCCTATCATTTGCATGTAATAGAATATAACAATTAATTGAAAATATTATTAATAGTTTGGGCCACCACACTAGCTCATACCTATATTCCTAATACTTTGAGATGCTGAGGTGGAAGGATTGCTTAAGGCCAGGAGTTTGAGACCAGCCTGAGCAAGACCCCATCTCTACAAAATAATAAAAATGAAGCACACCTCTGTAGTCTGAGCTACTTACTGGGAGGCTGAGTCAGTAGGACAGCTTGAACCCAAAAGTTTGAGGCTACAGTGAGCTATGATTACACCACTGCATCCCAGCCTGGGTGACACACCAAGACCTTGTCTCAAAAAAAGAAAATGTTATTAAGAGTTTAATGAATATACACTAGTAACTTTGATACATGTTTTTTTCTTTCTTTTTTTTTTTTTTTTTTTTTTTTGTTAGCCACAAGATTAGAAGATATATGTTCTTAGATCTTTGATTCTTTAACAGTGGTTCCTCAGCCACTTCTGTTTTCCCTTTTGTTTTTTCCAAAGAACTCTGTCCAGAATGCAGAGAAGGCTTACTGTGCCAGCAGCAGAGGGACCTGCGCGAGTACACTCAAGCCACCATCTATGTCCATAAAGTAGTGGATAATAAAAAGGTACTGGTCCCTCTTGTGGTGATGACTAGTAATGATCAAGCATGCTCTGACTTGATTTGCTCTGTATTTGCACTAAGGGTCTGCCTAGGACTCCATTTTTCTTCCTTCAGAATGGTTTGGCATCAGAATTGAAATTGGACAGCAATTGAAAATGAACAGTTACGTGATCATATGAGAATTTAGTCTGTTATTGATTGATACATAGATCTTTATAGAATGTCAGCTGTGTGCCAGGAATGGTCCCAGTGCTGGGGGTAACAATGATAAAAGAAGGCAGGTATAATACCTGCGCTCAAAATTAGAGGTACCTAGTGAGGAAGATCAGGAATAAACTATAAATTCATATGATTTCACACAGAAATGATTGTTTTGAAGGAAGTTTAGCAGGGTAAAGTGGAAGTTAGTGTTAGGCAGGGGACAAGAGAGGAGTCTTGGAGAAGTAGTTGTTTTTACCTAAGCCGTAGCTGTCAGGGATGCAGCCTGGGAAGTGTATTCCAGGCAAAGAATGCAAAGGTCAAAAGGATAAGCCTATTGTGCTTATGCAGCAGACTGAAAACCATTGCACCTGGAACAGTGTTGTCCAATAGAGCTTTCCACGGCAATCAGCAGATTCTAGGTTCTGTATCTGTGCTGCACACTGCGGTAGTCACTGGCCATGTGTGGCTGTGGAGCGTTTGACGTAGCTAGTGTGACTGAAGAATTCAGCTTTAGTTGATTTGAAGTGACATAGCTGTATGTGGCTAATAGTTACCCTAGTGTGGCTATTGCTGGTCTAGAATAAAGTTTATTCCAAGAAGGTATCCTGATATGGAATGAGCGACCTGTACTCTATTAGGTTTTATACATCACACCAAGGATTTGGTTTTATTCCCAGTGTAGCTATAAGCCCCTGGAGAGTTTCAAGCAAGGCCATGATATGATCTGATTTATAGTTTAAAAGAAGCCACCCTGGCTATAGTGTTTGGAATTGCTGTGAGGGCATAACGGGAATGAGAGAGGCCTGTTAGAGCCTCTTGCACTGACCTGCAAGGATAGGTGAAATTGACTGGATGTGTTTGGGAAGTAGAGGTGTTAATACTTGCTTGGATTGGATTTCCAAGCATTTTTATTATACTGGGGATGGCTCTTGGGTAGATCCTGACCCAGATCTCTAGATAGTTTAATAATTTAATTCCATGGTTTTGGGATTAAAGACAAAATGGAATACATTTAATTTGATGTTGGTTTTCAAACACATTGTTTAGAAGAGTAACTTACAAATTATGCTCTGGAGGCCGAGGGTTCTGCTTTACAAGTTAAATAAGGCCTTACTTACCTAATTTGCTGAAAAAATGAAGTTAATAAGTATAAATGTCTCTGTTTCTCCCTCTAGAATTTTCTTAAAATCTTTTGTTCTCTGGTATAAAATACTATCCAATTTAGCTATAGTTTCATTGTTCAGTTTAATAGCAGTATTTCATAGTATTCTGCAAGGGAGCACTTCTTCTGTCTTTCATTTTCTCAAGTCTTAAAGAGCATATGACTCTTGCCACCTGAATAGTTTGAGAACTTGAAAAGGCTTGGCAATCAGTATGCTCGGGAAGGTGTCAGGCACCTTTGAACTTCTGCGAAATAACATTATTGTACAAGATTGATAATAATAACTGCTCTGCAGAGACCTCTTAAATGTACAGTGAGCACTTTAAATACTACAAGAGTAAGAAATAGGGTAAAAAACTAACATGTTTAAAGAGCATAGAAAACCAAGAAGGCTTAATTCTTCATCTGCTCTCCAGTCTATAGTCCTACCATGTTAAGTGTTCCTCCCCTTGATAAAGGTTGCCTGTCCCAGCCCCCACATCCTCCATAGCATGCCTTCCTAGGGTCTGACCTACTTCTCTTTGTTGTCCTGGCACATTCAGGTGATGAAGGATTCGGCTCCAGAGCTGAACGTGAGTAGTTCTGAAACAGAGGAGGACAAGGAAGAAGCTAAACCAGATGGAGAAAAAGATCCAGACTTCAATCAAGTACGAGTTGAAGCTGCTTTTCATTGTTTTACTTTCTGCTGTTCTCATAGAGCAGCTATTCGAAGCCCCTGGGCATTTCTCTGTACCCTATATGGGATATTCATTCTTAGTTCCCATCCTTGTCTTTCCTTTCTCTTTCCTTAGTTTTGGTGGCATGCTACAGCTGTCCTGATTTCTCATGAAAAGCCATGGACCACATGATTCCAGAATGAATATAGTTCTTGCTATTAAGTTTAAAAAGGCTAAAATACAATGTAATGATTAAATTTTTAGCTGAGAAAGAAGACTAAAACAAGACACATATCAAGGCTGGGCACGGTGGCTCACGCCTGTAATCCCAGCAGTTTGGGAGGCTGAGGTGGGTGGATTGCCTGAGGTCAGGAGTTTGAGACCAGTCTGGCCAACATGGTGAAACCCCATCTCTACTAAAAACACAAAAAAATTAGCCAGATGTGGTGGCACATGCCTGTAATCCCAGCTGCTTGGGAGGCTGAGGCAGGAGAATTGCTTGAACCCGGGAGGCAGAGGTTGCAGTGAGCTGAGGTTGTGCCATTGCACTACAACCTGGGTAACAAAGCAAGACTGCGCCTCAAAACAAACAAACAACAAGACATATATCTTGGTTTGTTGCTTAGTCAGAATCTTTATGAAAAACTTATTTAACTCAAATGTTCTCATTACAAATAATAACCTTAATAATGGAGTATGTAAAGTCTCTAATTAAGATGTTAATCAAGGCCGGGCGCAGTGGCTCACACCTGTAATCCCAGCACTTTGGGAGGCCGAGGCGGGTGGATCACGAGGTCAAGAGATCGAGACCATCCTGGTCAACAT